AAGTCCCCCGACTCTGTTTCCTCCATGGAAGACATGCCGGTGGAATTGAGAAAGTCCAAGTATTCTTTCCACCTCCAGCTCCACCTCACCATAGTTCCACATTTAGTAAAATATCTCTTCATTGACTGGATGTTTTTAATGAACGTCTACAGCTGATTAACATTTGGAGCCAGCTGACCTGTGGTCCTGTGGTTGGGTCAGAGGCAGCAGGTCCAGGAGAGAAACCCAAACCCTCCCCGAGGTGTTCCCACACCAGAGAAGATCTAAGATAAGATAAGATAGAACTTTACTGATCCCGCAGGAAATTGTTGTGCCAGAGTTTCAATACAAAGGAACAAACACAAGGAATCACAGAAGATACAAAAAATAACAGAAGATATAGTCAAAGTCACTTTATTGTCAAAAGCTGCAATATGTACAGGATATACACAGGATTGAAATTACATTTCTCTCAGACCCCGGTGCAACAAGAACCATTTAACATTAAAACATTTATTAAACATAAGCATAAAATGAAGTAATAAAAGCATGATACTGTCTTAAAAAATAACAGTGAATATAAAAATACCAACATTAAGTTCTAAACAGGTCAGACAGAAACATTAAAGAGTTTTTTGTGGTGCAGGATTAATTTTATTGTGAAGAAAGGGGGAGGAGTTGAACAGTTTGAAGGACTTCCTGTGGTGTTCTGTGGAGCACCTCGGTGGTCTCAAGTCTGACTGAAGGTGCTGCGGTAAGAGTCCAGGGTATCATGCATCTAGGAACCCTTCAGAGGGTTCTGGGTCTGTCCTAAACCTTTAAACCAGAGGAGCCTCCCCATCTGACAGAAGAGCAGCAGCTCTACTCGGTGATGGAACTCCTCCTCTTATTGAAGCTGAGCCCCGCCACCCACACACACACACCCTCCCAGCTGTTTGGATCTAGGGTCTGGTTCTTCCGGTCCTAATCCAAACCTCGAGACCACAGTTGAGGGTTGGAACGTGGACAGTCCAGTAAATCCAGAGCTTTGCCTTTAGACTCAACTCTTTCTTCACCATGGCCGACCGGAGCAACGCCCTCATAACTGAGGATGAGGCCCGGTTCTTCTGACCTTCACTCAGGAACAGGACATCTCGTAACATTGCTTCAGATGTTCCTCGCCATGAGGCTGTCTGACCAGAACTAAGTAAACCAAAATGTCTTTGGTGCGAGACGGACAGAAGGACACGTCCCGTCTTCACTCCACGAGATGGACGGACAGAAGGACACGTCCCGTCTTCACTCCACGAGATGGACGGACAGAAGGACACGTCCCGTCTTCACTCCACAAGATGGACGGACAGAAGGACACGTCTCGTCTTCACTCCACGAGATGGACGGACAGAAGGACACGTCTCGTCTTCACTCCACAAGATGGACGGACAGAAGGACACGTCTCGTCTTCACTCCACGAGATGG